AATGACGACATGTGCGGAGTGTATATTGAATATGAGGAGCAACATGGTGTTTCTACAGCTTATAACTTATATTCTAACTTGAGAATCTACGCTTTTAGAAAAAAAATATTGTTTGGGCTCAACAAAAACAAAAGCATTAGTTTGCATCACTCTTTTTGAGTTATGATAAAGTTTGTTCAATCAACAAACTACACTGACTGAGGAGAAATAGTTTCTCCTCTACAATCAAAGGTGTTTTTAATTTCCATTTTGACCCATCTGAACTTGTTTAACGATGTTAAGTAGGGAACGAGACTTGAAATCCTAAACTTAAGTTAACAAATATGAAGTTATTAAGCCAATTTCATTAATCTACCTCAACTTGAATTGAGTTTTAAATGAGTTAACACAGAAATCTAAGTTTAATTTACACACAATGCTAAGTTGATGTAATCACCAACATTATGATGTCAACGCTACGCATCAAAATAATGTTTACAACCTAATTAGCTTGTCTAAATCAGAAAATTACACTTTTATAACCATACAACCATGCAGCTAATTAGGAGGTGGGAATAAGTTTCCTTTAATTACTTTTAAGATTCTAATTTCAGCAATTTGCATAGTTTTTTGTTCTTTGTCATAAGTGCAGCGATAAAGCTGAGGAAAGGATAAAACAGGGGAAGATGCACAAAAATGAGAGCGAGGTGTCTGTGGTTGTGGTGCGCCTTTACTGCTGGGGTTGCACATGTTGTTTACTGTGGTCTGTTTGTGTGAGAAAAGCAGAGTGAGTTCATGCCATAATATGAACCTTAAAGGGCCACTGCAGGCTCTATGTGCCCTGAATTGTGTAATTGGGTGCACATTTAGGATTTTATATACACCATAGACTCATTTATCAAACGTTTGCATTACAGCATAAATCAATGAGCGGAACATTTATTCATACTGAGTGTATTTGTCTTCATATCTGTTTACACACTAGCTTCCACTGATGGGTGCCTACAGTCTCTCTTGTCATTCTAACTGCCTTTCTGTGTTTAATTTGTGTTTTATTTTACAAGTGTAAGACAGCAGAACAGAAAAAAAAAACAGAATACAAAATAATCCCTTTTCCAATGTTTTCCATCAGTAAGATTTATTATGTTATTTATTATGTTCTGCATTCTGTTTTCACAGCTAAGGCTCCACACAGGTGCAACTTGGGATTACTTCACTCCCTGCACCACGAGGATGGGCCAGGGGGTTTTAGGTGTAAACGTGAAGGTCTGTTCCAACCTGCCCTGTGGCCTGTAGTCTTCAGACACAGTCTAGTGGGAGGGCAGGTTTCGGTTGACAAGTCTGAGCGAAAGTAGGGGGAAAGGGAGGTGTGTGAACAAAACATAGGTATACTCGTATCATGGGTGTTTAAACACTGTGCTGAGAGTGCAAGGTTTCTCTCATTTGAGCAATTTGTCCAAAATTTTCCATGGTGGACTTTTCCGTTTCCTTCTAAACAGGGGATTTGCATGTGTACGATATAAAGCTGCTGTTACACGAAACTCCACACCTCCTAGTGAGGAACTGTACTGACCTGTGCATTTATTTATCACTGAGTATTTAAAGAGATTGTGTGCAAACTTTAAGATTTTTGTAATGCATATATTAAGAATAAAATAGTTTAACATACTCCAGAATATTATGTTTTATAATTCTAGGTTGCTGGTTTACTAATCAATAACAGATCCTAACATCTGTAATGCCTTTGTTTTTTTTTTAGATTTTGATATACATTATAGAAAAGTGTGTGTATATATATTTAGAAGCAACATTATTCACACATTTTAACAAAAAGAAATCAAACCACAAAGTCTACATGTATGCATCTGTACTGTCAGTGTTAGTCAAAGGACTGTGTATCTGATTCTATACCCGCATTGATAAATAATCTGCAATATAAATCATGCTTTAGATATATAGTCAGAAGTACATGCCTATCAAAGAGGTATTTCAATTTAAATCAGAACTAAAGTAGGAGTAGACAATTTGTATTTTTTTTTGTCTTTTTTTTTTTTTGTCCCAGAGGATTTTCGATGAGTTTTCTTTCTCATCATTCACACATCCATGTACTTCTGACTTGGTATATTAACTCCACATATCTGTAGAAACACTCTATAAATATTTCACATTCTCATTCACCAGAAATCCCATTAAGACATTTTACGAGCAACTCAGCAGCCCATTCCTACAAGCTGACCATGCTCAACATCTTCATTGACATCCTAAACTGAGCCTATATATGAACTCTCTTGTGTTTCCTCTGGTGGAAACTGGGACCGGTTGTTTCAATACACTGATAGACAACAAACTTTATAGTATTGAAGCCACAACATTTTACATTTTTAATGATTTTAACTCAATGACATCCAGCTATCTGAAATTTTTCTTTTGCTTTCAGGAGCTGTTACCAGCATGGCTTACGTTCAATGAGCCAGTGGATTATAAGAAAATGGTATTACAGCGCCCCCCAGTGGACAAATGCCCTGTCCAAGCTGCCTGTGCTCTGAAATTGTGGCAATATATTGTATAGCTTTGCAATAGTATTGAACTAATACCTGTTATTATTCATGCACATGCATCTTTGTATGATCTGTTATTATGTATCACTTTTGTTTTTCTTTTTTCTTGTTTTCTGTCATTTCATGTTTATGATGTTTATTACGTCATTTATATGCCACTCATTATTATGGCATGTATTTATATAGATGATAAAAATACATCTTGGCACATTATTCTTGATAATGGTTATTGTGCATATTAACAACTTATGTATGTGTTGGTTAAATTTTAAATACACTGAATCGACATGTTTGCTCTGGAATAAGACCAATGTGCAAGGTTGATTTCAACACAGTGGTCTAGGTTAGTTTACTGTGCATGTTTTATAACTGAATTTATTTGTGTTTGTATATATTTGTTTCTGTTTTCTATACCCTACATTTCTATTTTTTTTCTTGAGCTATTTTGAGCTGTGGCCACATTTAAACATAGTCCCCCTGGGTTGATGACATCTGTTCTCAGTGACCTAACAAAGCTTTCGCTAACCTTTCAGGCACTGACAACTTTTGGCATGTGCCACACATACATATGCACTTGTTGTCAATGTGTATCTTAGTCAAGTCAAGCCACTGTTATTTATATAGAACATTTAAAACATGTGCCATGGTCATCAGCCCGGTTGCCTTGGACCTAGAAGCTGTCCTTGAACCTTGAGATTCTGCATTTCAGAGATAGCAGGAGTGTGAAGAGGTGTTACTGTAGGTGGGTGGGGTCCCTGATGATGTCTTTGGCCCCTGTCTGCGGATAGACATCCTGTAGAGATGGGAGGGTCGTACCTCTGATGTGTTAAATTGATGTGGCCAGTCTCTGCAGATGCTTCCAGCCCACTTGTGTTGTGTTCTTTTGACGAACTATGATGCTACTGCTGAGAATGGTCTCAATAGTGCACCTCATCTAAATGACGTCCTCAGCCTCATCAGGACGAACAGCCTCTGCTGTGCTTTCCTGGTCAGCTGGGTGATGTGCTGGGTTCAGCAGAAGTTTTCACAGGTGTGAATCCAGAGGAACTTAAAGGTTCTGACCCTAATACACAGTGAGTCGTAGTGTTGGTGGCTTCTCTCCTTCTTCAGGTCCACTATCACATACTCTGTCTTGTTGACACTGTCTGTTGTTTTTACTGTATAAACTGTGTCTAGATTCTTTTGTGGCACACCTGAGCATGAACACCTGCTGTCTAAAGAATTTGCAGTCTCCCTTAAGTATTTATTAAAATTCTAATTTAAATCTTCATTCCAGTTTGCCTGACTAAGAGGAACATAAACATTTGTTGTTTTTGCTGGAACTACATTGACACAGTGATGTTGCAAGGTTCTAGCTCCAAATGGTTTATGTATAGTCCTCAATCTTAACATTTTTTGTGTGTTTCTTTGTTTGCTTACGTTTTTAAATTTAGAAAATAGTAAAATCTCGTAACTGCTCAGTAAAAAATGCTGAAGGCAGTACTGAAATAAAGGTCATGACAGTAAATATTATGTATTTATGATTAACACTAAACAGGGAATACAAGGGCAATTTAAGTTAAAACTAATCGTAAAGATAGAAAAGCACACAAAACCAGAAAGAAAACTACAATAACACTTTCAAATAAAAGGAAGCTTTAAGAAGAGATGTTTGAGATACTTAAGATCGTTTTTACTGAAATCTACATCTGCTAAAAAAGTACAATCAGTAACATCTGCGACACTTTGCAAGGAACTCAAACCATATTTGATCCAAGACACTGCTCAGTGCAACACTAAATTATGTCTGTCACCTCTAGGAAATAGATTTGTTCTAACTATTCATAGTTATTTATTAGGGGACTTGATAGGTGAGCTTTTTCTCCTCACCAGCACCTTCATCTCTTCCCCTGGATATTTAAAGGATCAGTCAACCAAAAAACTACTATTATTAATATTATTAAATATTCAAAAGTATAATTAATTAATGAGGCATGCCAACCTCACCCCAGCTGGCAGCCAGAAATTGGCAACCCTAGAGTAGATCAGTGACTTGCAATTGTTTTTATTGCAAGGCACACCTGTAAACATGAATATAGCTGTCAATCATCATAAACAAGACACATTTCAAGGCGCATCCAGCACTCACTGTGGTACACATTTGGAATTTGGGCTATGTGTAAGAAGAAAGTGGGATGACCTTGCTTTGTGTGGAGCACACAGTGTCTCACACCTTTTAATCTGAAGTGACATGAAAATGGTGAGCTGATCAGGTTAAAATCTAAATATTGATTGGCTTGCCTAAGCCTCCAGTCCTGACAACGCCTTTGCAACACCAATCATTTCTTGATTGCACATTGATAGATTAAGATAAACACACAGAGCGGCCCTTTAACAAGCCCCGCCCCGTCGTGACGCAGCCGTTGTTTGGCCCGTGACGCTGCTTGTACACGTAGCCTAGTAGGATGTGTTCATTGAAGATGGTGGCGGTGTGTCAGACTCACTGTCCTGCACATTTGTAAGAATTTATTTAAATTTATACACATTTCCGACATCGGGTAAGAGTAAATATATAACACTACTGCTAATGTTTTACTCTGAACGTTTTATTCTGGTGACCGTGACAGGCGTGAAACTGTTACCCCTGTAGTTAGCAAAGGCTAGTTAGCCAGCAGTGCTAACTAAGCAGCGATGCTAACGCTAGCTGAGCAGGCAGTGAACCTGTTAAATTATGCTCGGCGAGTGGCCAGCGAACCGAAACTTACCTCTGTGTGCTCCTGTCACTGCGGAATTTGTACGGAAAGGACAAATATTTAGTTTTTGTTTAGAAATTCTTACCTTTGGGCAAAACCAGGCGACTTCAGATAGCAGTGTTTTGCTGTGTGATATGGCGTTCAGGACATGTATAGCAATGTAGCGTTACCGTTAGCTGTTGAGCAGAGCACTCAGGACCTTTCCTCACAGGCAGCTTAATGTATAACGTTACCTTCATGTCCTGCCAAACCAAACAGAAGCCAGTCGTCGGCTATATTACAACAATTGACAGGTATGAGAGAGAAGTCGATAGCTTTTATATCACTAGGCTAACTTTGTGACTTTTGTAAGTTGGCAGGTCGATGCTAATATTAGCTTACCAGGCTGCAACGGCTTCAGATGAATCCGTAACTCCGGACGTTTGAAAGATCCGGGTTCACGGCGACTACTTGCCTGCTCCGTTACGTCTGTCTGTTGTTATTGATCTCCCTTTCTAACATTTCAAATGCTCGTTGTCGGTCCGTGTTGGCTCCTCTGAACTTCTGACAGATGCACAGTGTCTGACATGCTATATTTTCATCAGGGCATGGTCAAGAGTCTACGCGTTGTATGTGTGATGGTGTTACTTAAATTTCGTCCAGTTATCAACTTTACCATTAAATGTAAGAAAAGTGCACAAAGCTAACTGCAGGACTTTTTACATCACATCAGTGAGATCCGGTTTAGATCATTTCGATCATCACATCAGTGTTGTTTTTCTTTGCTTTCGTTTGTAACAAAACTCACGAAACAAGTGTAATTCCAATGGCAGATTCCCTATGACCATCTGACAAAAAGTTGTCTGTATTCATAAAGATTAAAGAATACATACTTTCTGTTATATCACTTTAACTTAATCTTGTTTTGGTTAGCAGATATTTCCTTTGCATATGTGACATGTGTATTCACAGTTATGTAGATTTATAGAAACTTTGAAATGTTTCTGTTGTTTAATTAAGACAAGCATCGTGCATTTAACAAAGCGTTTCACCTCAAATGGGATGATAGTATTTAGGTTTGCATTCATCGCAATCAGTCACTCATGTTGTATTCAGCTTTGTCCTGTCGATCACAATATCTGTGGGGTGATGCAGGAATTGCCACGTTGTACCATTTGTTTTAGTAGGACCAGAGACTATAACACAAATAAAGGTGCGGTAAAGTCCATCAAAGGGGCATGCATAGCGTTTTGTTAACCACTCCCTCTTTTCTTCTCTCTCCCTAGCTACGCCTGACTTCAGTCTCTTCAGTGATATCTATCCGAGTGACCTGGTCCTCGGGCCTGTTAGTTCTGCAGACATGCAGCCCCCTCCTCGGACTGGACCTCCAGGAGCCTCTGGCCCTCCTCCTTCTGGGCCTAATATGTTCCGCAGGACCAGGCCTCATAAGCATACAGCAGCAGCAGCAGCAGCAGCAGCTACTGCACCAATGCCACCTGCTGCTCAACCCATGACAGACCCTTTTGCTTTTGGTAGAGCTCCTCCCCCTACGGCTGCAGGTGGTCTCCCAACAATACCAAACAGCAACCCTCCACCAATGCATACCCCACCTAACTCAATGTACTCTCCACCTGGCTCAGGTCTGCCTCCACAACCACAGATGATGGAGGATGTCCCAGCTGTTCCTCCTGGTCCCCCACCATCCTCTCTGCCAGGTGTACCCCTGTTCAATCCTCACAGTACAGCATCCCCTGGTGTTTTCCCAGCACCAAGTCCCACAGGATATGCATCTCCACATACTGAACAGGGCTATTTTAATTCGAGAGAACAGACACCATCCATGCCCACAGAATCACCACCTATGGCTATAGCTCCAGCACCTAGTCAGACACCTTTTAACCCAGAATTTCAGGGACAGGCTGCTCCTCTGCCTGTGCCCTTCCAGCCACTGCCTCCCATCATGCCCTCTTCCCAGTGGGCCCCTGATCACGGAAGTCGGCCCCCATCTGTTCAGAACTATTTCCAGCCTACTAGCGACCCACAGCCTTTTAATATACCTCCGCAGACTCAGATGTACCCCTCCCACAGCCCATCACCCCATCACACCTCCACCCCCCCAGTTCAGGCTGGACATCCCCAGAACCAGACTCCTGTTCCTCCTCAAAACCCTGTGAATACTCCTGGTTCTCAGTGGCCAGACCCAAATGGACCCCAGCAGCATAATTCCCATTTCCAAACTCAGAGTTATTTTAGTCAGAGCTCTGCCCCCCAAGACTCATGGTTTAACCAACCTCCACTGGACTCAGGCTATCACCAAATGGGGACAGGCCCAGGCCATCCACAGCCCCTGCCTGACTCTGCGGGTTCTCACCCTGTGTCCAGTCCTGGACCTGGACCTAGTTCAGCCCCTGCCCCAGTTCCATACTCTCAGGAGTCTGGTACACTCTCAATGTTCTTCAAAGACAATGATGTGGAAAATGAGGAAACACTTGCTGGAGATAGAAACAAGGCAGTAAATGGTATTGCTGGTTCATTTCAGCATCACAGCAGCCCACAAGCTCACAGTGGCCATGCAGACGTTTCTTTGGATTACCAAGGAGCTTCTGTTCAAGATCATTCACACTTACCTTACATGAATGATGGCAATCATCCCCCACAGGGAAATACGCAGAAGCCACCTGATTCCCAATTTGACCATGTGGAGAATCTGGAGTGTGTCCCAAACCAGGAAGTGTTGCCCAGTGAAACTCATGGCAGTCCTCCTGCTACGGCGCCCCATGTAGTGGACCAGTTTGAAACCGGGCCCAACCTGGAAACTCCAGATTCAATTCCGAGACCAATGAGATCTGCCAGTGTGTCATCCAATTATAGCAATATGAGCCATGGAAGTGGAACTGGCTCTCGTCGGCACCAAGGAGTAGTAGGCACCTTTATTCAGCAGGAAAGTCCACGTCTCACTGATGATGCTAGCCTGTCTGCTGCCACTGGAGGCTACTTTGAACAGATTGACAGTTCTCCTGCTGGAGATACGGGTGCGCTACAGAGCTCCCTGGAGCAGATGTGGCCATCCACACCTAGTCCTCCTAAACCAACTGGTATTTTTCAAGCTAGTGCTAACAGCTCTTTTGAACCTGTGCGCTCACATTCAGTTGGGGTGCGTCCTGCTGAGGTTGATAGGGCTAAAATGGTAGTGGAAAGTGGTGCAGATGGTACACCAGGCAACATGGAGCAACCACCAGATAATATGGAAAATATTTATGGCCCAGGGCACCCCCTGCCTCCTGGGGCTGGAGGTGGCGTACCTCTTGTGACACACCCGGTGGTCCATTCTCACTCTCGGCCTTCATCTCGTGCTTTTGGGGCCAGTCGGCCCTGTGAGAGCCCTGCTACTACTCTGTGGGCTCAGAATGATCCCACAAGTTTGGGTGCTAATATCCTCCTTGCCCCTGCTGCGCCAACAGTTCTTGCCCCTTTACGAGAGCCCAGTGCTGATGTCATCCAGCCTCCAGAGGATGGCCCTGTGGACCTGCAGCCCTCCCAGCGAATTCAGCCAACTTCTCAGCAACACTCAGAGAACCTAGAGAACCCACCAAAGGTGAGTGAGGCTGAGCCAACTGACTCTCAAGGCAGCCTGGGCTATGCGTCTCTCCTTGTTTCTGGCTCAATGCACCAGCCTGTTTTGATTGCCCCACCGGTGTCCAATTACAGTGTGATTCCCCCCAGTACTCAAGCAGCCAGTCAAAGTAGCCTTAGGGAAACTACCCCACCTGCGAGATCACTTGCACAGGGACAGGGTGCCAATACCTCCCAACCACCTACGGTAACCTCTAATCAAAATCCACTGTTTGCTCCTGGACCCTTGAGCTTCAATCCTTCTAACCAGGTTCCGCTCAATCTGACTCGAGACAACACAGCCGCAGCAGCTCCAGAAATGACAGCTCCGCCGCCGTCTCAGCCGGTCCGCCCTCCTCTTTCTAGGGGCCAATCATTGGGTGGAGACAGCCACTCTGCTCTCCAGGTTAATCCACAGGCTTCTCTTGTGACTCCTACTGTTTCTAATCATAATCAGCCATCAAATTATGAACTGCTTGATTTTTCTATGCACCAATCACAAGCCCAAAGCCAAGCATCTGGCCACCCTTCCTCTCTACATGAGTCTCCGCAGTCTAGTAATGGATTTTACCTACAGGTCACCAAAGATGCTCAGCAGGGGGTGAGAGTGGAAGGGAATGTCTCTGCGCAGACCCCAGTCTCTACATCTGCCCCACTGGTACCACCGTCACCCTCTCAAGCAGCTGCAAACACTCAGCAGCTCCCAAGTGAACCTCCTAAGACATCAGATTCTCAGGCTGGACAGCAGGGACAAAGAGATGCTCCTCCTGTTCCTGTGAGTGGAGCACAATCTTCCCATGGCCAGTATCCAGCACCGGCGCAGGGTCCTGCTGCAGGGAGTGCTCCTCCTCCTCCTCCCGCTGCAGCATACCCTCCAGGGCCTCGAGGACCTGTACCTCCAGGGGCTTCTCAGCCAGGTCCTGCAGAACCACCGCGACCACCCTCCTCTGCAGGCAGCCATCAAAGCTACGGGCCTCCTGCTCCTCCAGCTCCAGGGCACATGTATGGTGGCTATTATGGTAACTATGGAGAATACCCTGATAGCAGAGCACCATATCCTCCTGGTCCGTACCCACCTCCACCTGGGGATCCTAGGACACAGCCATATTATCAAGTTAGTGTAAAGTCATTTTTTTCCCTCTATGCTAGTCTACAAATATTCATCTGCTGCTATTTTATGAAGTTGTGCAATTTTCTGTCCTGATAGGACAGCCGTGTATGAACAACTGTTGCCAATGAGTTTTAAAATTTGAACATAAATAACCTTATATTGCTTTTATCAATCAGGATGGTTCATACAGGGGCAGAGGAGATCCTTGGTATGGTAGATATGAGGGGCAGACACCAGGTTATCGGGATCCAAACTACCAGTACAGAGAGCCTCAGCCAGAGCGACCCAGCTCTAGGGCCAGTCAGTATTCTGACAGACCCTCATCCAGGTTTGTAGCACCCTTTTTTGTCTTGCACTATCATGTAAATGCCATGTACTGCATGTAAAGTCAAAATCTTTTCATTTAGTCATTTATTTCTTCAAGAAGTATTAAAGTATCATAATTAAGAGAATATTATGGCAAAGAATCCTTCGTCGTAAGTTTGGTTTTATTTCATATAAATTACTTTCTTAACTATGTTCAGGTGGTTGCCACTCTTGACCTCTAAGTCTCACCTTTTCTTTGCTTTTTCCCCAAAGGCAAGGCTATCCGGAAGATTACCACAGAGCAAACCGAAGTGCCTATAGTGAATATTATGCAGATTATAACAAGCACTATGATTATGGAGGTATGAGCACAGAGCTGAAAGCTGTTATTATTTACTAGTTCACTAAAAATGTTGCAAGTTTATTTGTTCATGAAAGGCATTAATCCCTATGAGTATATTAATGTTGTTTATATGTGAATCATCTCTTCTTTGTCTCCATATTTTCCGTGGGAAGGATACAATTACGGACAATATGACCCACGATACAGAGGATACTATGATCAGGCCTACTGGTCTAATTATGATGACGCCTACAGAGCCAGAGACAGCTACTATAATCAACAAATGTATCCTGCCAGGTATGCAGAGAAAGCCATTTGCACAGCCTAAGTGGTACATGTCAGTGAAATTGTTGTTATTACATTTGGCAATAGGTAATGTTAGCCAGTGTGAGAAAGTGTTGTCTTAGCAATCTGCACTATGGTGACATATATTCTGTCAGTTCTTATTTATCAGACTGGAAGATAGATTTAAGACTAATGTTCAAGGTTATTTAAGTTCAAGTCTTGTGAACATGTTTGTTTTTTAGTGTCTTCTGATCGACTGCATGATTACAACAGGTAGCTGTACGTACTATTTGATTTACAAATGCTGTACGCTTCACTCACAGGAAAGAGGGCTATGATGACCAGTGGCGATACTATCCTGGTTATGATGCCAGTTTTGATGATGAATACCGTCGTCGTGGAGAAATGTATGGCGATGACTTTGACCGACGCAGCGTCCACAGCGAGCAGTCGGCACACAGTGTACACAGCTCTCACAGTCACCACAGCAGACGCAGCAGCTTCAGCTCACGATCACAGCAGGTAAATAGGTTTGGCTTGTATGTAGTTTGTATGTGTTGTTATAGGTTGCTATCATCTGTCTGAACCACAGAACAGAGACTTCGAGACTGAGCCACTTGCGGGCATATTTTAGACTGTGGACTGCAGTGCTGCTTTCACTGCTCCTTGCATGCCAAGCAAATTCCTCCAACCTTTGATACCTTCAGTTGTGGCTTTCTTTAGCACAACACTGATAAGCTCATGAATAAAGACATAAACACAAACCTAGGTTGTTGCAGTTAAAGGCCTTTGAGGACTGACATGTTGATGCTTTCTGCTTTTAAATTCACACCAGAACTCCTTCTCGTTGTCACTTCAGCAAAGCCCATAGGTATAACTTGATAGTCAGTCTGGAGGAAAGGGGATGGTTTTTTGTTTGTTTGTTTTGTCATAACTGTTGAATCTATTTAAACTAAGATCGTTGAGTTATGGAGTTCCTAAATGTTTGGGCAGCTTTTTAAATATGAAATTAAATGAAATGAAAAATACTTTATTTATCCCACAAGGGAAGTTCAGTATATAGATGCATACAGTCCTTTGACAGCAGTTTCCTTCCTATTCACTGTGACAGAAGGTTTTTTTTTTCTTTTCTGTTTTTTGGGTTGTTTTTTTAACAACAGAATACTTTACATTACTGCTTGCTAAGTACTTTTGTTGTTGTTGCTGAAATGGTTTACTGTAATCTCATAAACAAAGATAAGAATACATACATAGAATAGATTTTGAAGCTCCACTTGTGAATTTTTTGAGTTTTGTACGTGTTAATGTTTTCATTTGTCTTCTTATTTGTTAATTCTCACTTTTATATTGTACCTTCCTGCAGAGTCAGGTATACAGGAGCCAGCCTGACTTAGTGTCAGCAGTTTATGACAACACGTCATCCACTCTGGCTGTGGACTACTCCTATGGGCAGTACCCGAACCAGACTGATGCCTCCCAGAACTACAGTCAGTACCTCTATCCCTCCGAGTACCCTGCAGAAAGCACCTGGATCGCCCCTGAGCAACGTAAGTAGACAGTCCTAAGTCTGAATAGGGTTTGCATTTTTACCAATTCCTAAATAGCAACAGGATCCTTTGCAAAGTTCAGGTACGTGTTCCTAGTCTGACCGATATGTCCTCTGTAGCTCCCCCTCGTCCTGCAACCCCAGAGAAGTTCACTATACCCCACCGCTGTGCCCGCTTCGGACCTGGTGGTCATCTGGTGCAAGTTCTGCCAAATCTACCCTCAGCTGGACAGCCTGCTCTGGTTGATATCCACAACATAGAGGTACATTTTTTAACGAAACACATGTTTCAGTGGTGCATGGTTGGAAGCTTGTGTTCATTGTATTGTGAAAAGATTATTTGTATTAGAGCTGGGGTAACTGCAAGAAAACATTTCAATATACAGGAGGGTGTTCTTGTTGTTGTTACGTTGTGTACACAACACAAAACGGAACAGAACAGTGTTACCTTGTACGCAGACCTTTTTTAGGGTGTTCCTGATTCAGGGTTGTGAAAAGAACATGAGTCTTCTGGTTTAAAGAATCCTAACAGACTGAGCAGTGATGAAGCTTTAAATAGGCTGTGTGCCTTTTGAGAAGAAAAGATATGATAGTGTCACGATAAAAGACATGATAAATACAGGCAAATAATTCATTTTGTTGAGAATGTAAGATCTTCAACACTAAGTGATCAGAAACTGTTGACATTGAAAGACTAGTGTTGTGTTTTTTTTTAAATGAGGTGAGCTGCACCATGTTAAATGTAAACTTATGAGTGACCAGAAAAACAGATACTCTGGTGGTGAATGCATGAATATAATGTAAAGAACATATAAAGTATTATTTTATCCTGTCTGTTTATTCAGACCATGCTGCAGGATACATCGGATCAGGCAGAACTTCGAGCTTTCCCAGGACCCCTTGTCAAGTAAGTGTGTTCAGTCGTCTTTATCCATCATTATAAGATCTTAATCACTAACCTTTAAAGCCAAATGAAAGAGATATTTAATGTTTTGTTACCACATTCCATGAATACACAGAATGATACTGTTATTCAGGCTATGCTAATTTATAGGTATGGGGTGGACATAATAATAGAAACACTCGTCAATATAATGCAGTTTAGCTCTGCAGCCACTAAAATGACAGCTAAATTGAGTCTTAAGCCTGAAAACGCAAACTGAAAATTGGAAGCCTATTGAAGTTAGGACTGATTGCATTACTGTTGCATTAGTTTCTGCCAGGTGTTCCTGATAAACTGGCAACTGAGTATGAATTCATACGAAATACATTTAAACATCTTAATATCATTCTACAGTATATAATAGGTAACATTGATTTGACTAGTCACTGCCATCCTGTCTCACGTCTTATATTGTGTCCATCAGGGAGGAGACCCATAAGGTGGACGTGATAAAGTTCTCCCAGAACAAAGCACTGGAGTGTTCCCGTGACAACAACCTCTTGGACAGAGACTCTGCCCGGCTGCTCTGGGACTTCATTATGCTGCTGTGTAGACAGAATGGGGTAAGACTGTCCAGACATAACTGTGAATCTCTTGGACATAGAACTGAAAGCGGAAATATGACCTTTTATGTTTGGTTGAAACAATGTCCTCACTGTCACACTCTGTTTCTTAAGACTGTCGTTGGCACAGACATTGCTGACCTCTTGCTGAAGGAGCATCGCTCAGTCTGGCTTCCGGGCAAGAGTCCTAATGAAGCCAACTTGATTGATTTTAACAATGAGCCTCTGGCACGAGCTGAGGAAGAGCCGGGAGCCGGACCACTATCCCTTCTATCAGACACTTTCATGACTGTGCCAGAGAACGTTGGCAAGGAAACAGAACGCTTCAGGGAGCTGCTACTGTTTGGCCGTAAGAAGGTATGAAATGCACATAATAACTATATTATTGCAAAGGAATTTTAACTTATAAGAGCTGATGTGTTTTCGACTTTGTCTGTGGAGTAGGATGCACTGGAAGCAGCCATGAAGGGAGGTCTCTGGGGTCATGCCCTGCTGTTGGCCAGTAAGATGGACAACAGGACACACGCACGAGTCATGACAAGGTGAAGTACCAGTGATATCAAACACTGTGACCCAAAAGCTTGGTTGACCCTTTATTTTGTGATTTATTTCTTTCACGCTGACATTTTAAATATTGAACCAAAGTATACAAAAGAAATGACAACTAGATAAGGTTGCAACCTGGTTGGACAGCTTTTGTGATATATATTTTGAAACCAAACATTCTGCACTTCCACAACAATGCTGTCATACTGAAGTAAATGTGCTCATTGGATATTTGTAGCTATTTTTGAAGATTGTTTTTACCAGGAAATAATTCACAAAGAGTTTAAAATGTAGAAAGGATTAAAAATGGCATCAGGAATCCATGTTTTGGACACACGAACAACTAGAGGGCCCTCAGTAGAGGGACATAGTTGCCGCTGCCCATCATTGCACTGAGCCCTAGTAAAGCCTTATTCTGTCCAAGTTACCGCAAATTAGGTGTTTTCTTCCTCTAATCGTTGTTAGCTGTTAAAATATCATGGCAATATCAACATTATTTGACTTTGGGTTTGATCTTAAAAACACCCAAGGTCAAATGTCACATCCCCAGTGGGAAGCCTATAAATGGTTTCTGATACAAACAATGTGTCTAGGTCACAAGTTTATAGCCCAGAAATGGGCAACTATAATAAAAACATGCTACAAGGAGACAGCGGTTTCAATGCCTGTACTGAACTGTAATAGGCAACCTCCTATGTGAAGAATAACTAGGTATGCATAGACATAGATCCTGTTTGGTTTGTTTATGTATCTTTGGTCTGTACTGCATACATATTTCAGTCAAACTGCAGAATAGTTTGTTTGGAAGTAGACTAAGAACCACCTGTTTAGAGTGTCTTGATCTGCTTGTGTTGTGCGCGTCAAGGTTGGAATGGCAGCTTTCACACCTAAAATAAACCACTTTAACACAGCAGTTGCACTGGAATTTGTTTGAATCGAACCAAACCTGCCAAATGGAAGCCTACCCTTTGACATATATTTTTGTCTGCCTTTGTTGTATAGATTTGCCAACAGTTTGCCGATCAACGATCCTCTCCAGACGGTGTACCAGCTGATGTCGGGGAGGATGCCTGCATCAGCCACTGTAAGTATCCATTCTTCTGTCCTTCATCACCCATCGTTTTTTCTGAGTTTTTCTAAAAAAAAAAAGTTGCCCAGGAGGCATTTTTAAAGCGTGTAGACTCGTATGCCCTTATTTCTACCTCAGCTGAGATATTTCTTGTTTACATGCAGTGCTGTGGAGAGGAGAAGTGGGGTGACTGGCGCCCTCACCTGGCTATGGTGCTGTCGAACCTCACACATACCCTGGACCTGGATACTCGCACAATTACCACCATGGGAGACACTCTCGGTAGGATTGTATCATAAATCTAGTTACTAAAAACACTGAACATAGCAGCATTTGTAATATTTTCCTACAACAATCCCTAACACTCCTTCTGTCTTGTGACAGCTTCTAAGGGGTTAAACGATGCTGCACATTTCTGCTACCTGATGGCCCAAGTTGGTCTTGGAGTTTTCACAAAGAAGAGCACCAAGATGGTTCTGATTGGCTCTAACCACAGGTTAGTGAAAAAGGCAGACACACCCAATTCTAAGAGATCTCTATACCGTTTACAGAAAACAAGTCACACATGTAACACTATCTTTTTTCCCTTCAGTTCACCCTTTTACCAATTTGCAACCAATGAGGCAATTCAGAGGACTGAGGCCTATGAGTATGCTCAGTCTCTGGGCTCCCAGCCCTGTTCACTGCCCAATTTCCAGGTAGGTTTTTACTGTTTTTCCCAATAAACCAACAAGTACACACCAAGAGCCTAATAACTGACTGTCCAGACTATATTCAATAGACTGAACAAATGATTTTGTTTGCATTTCTAATCAAATCAAGTTTATTGTCATTTTGCTGTACATACACAGTAGTACAGGCAAGATGAGAGAGCGTTTCTTCAGGATCATTTAATTTGTAAGTTTTGCGGAATGAACATCTGGGATAGGCCAGACACTCAAAGCGTTCACTTTCGTTGTCTCCTGAAGGGGCCGCTGCGTTTATGCGTGCCGCCGTCACCATGGCAACTTCTATACCTCTATGGTTCAGTACAAGATTACAATAATGTTTCATGGCGATTTTTTTGAGCAATAACACTCTTCCTTTTGTTTCCCATTAGGTGTACAAGTTGATCTATGCATGCCGTTTGGCTGAAGCAGGCCTGAGTGCCCAGGCCTTCCACTACTGTGAAGTTATCTCAAGGACTGTCCTCATTCAGCCGTCATACTACTCTCCTGTTTTCATCAGCCAGATTATACAAGTATGCACTCATTCTCATCTTTCCCTCTGGTCCTCCTCTACAGTCATTATTAGATACGTGACAGTTTTCACATTCTGACATGTGTCTTTTTACACTGTTAACAGATGTCTGAAAAGCTGCGGTTCTTTGATCCACAACTGAAGGAGAAACCAGAGCAGGAGTTGTTCAATGAGCCTGAATGGCTGATTCACCTTAGACAGCTGGATGGACAGATCAGAGTGAGTAGAAGAATACATTTAATCAAAATGCTTGAAAAGAATCTAAAACATTTTAGCTCCATTTTGAGAATGGGCATTTTCAAGGTGACATTTGGACTTAATTCTAACCATAGTTAAAACACAGGCAAAAAAATAATCATCTGTGGTTCCCTTACAATTTACAGGGTCCAGAAAGACCTTTTGTAAACCTTATTGTTTTTGCCTGTTAGCATTTCTAAAAACAATGTTTAGATTTTTTGTAATTTGTACTCATGCAACAATTGCTTGATACTCTTGTTTTTTTGTAGACCGGTGTAATTACATACAGTGCAGACAGAACAACTCCTACACAGTTCGACTGCAGCAGCCCCAGCTCTGACTTGGACCAGCCGAGCCCACCTGAACCTTACAACATGCCGATGGAGACGGATGGTCCAACCCCTGACAACCCACTCATGAGCTCACTACTGCCTGGGCCTCCACCACAAGGAGTACAGTTGATGCCTCCGGGTGTGTGTGTACATGTGGTGAAGCTTTTTTAACTTCTCTGTATTATGAGATAGATTCAGAATGCTCATCGCTCGTTCTTTCTTTCAGCTCCCAACTCCATCCTCCAAGATGGGATGGCGCCTCCTCAGCTTTTACCCCCCAGTGACGTTCCCCAGTTCTACCCAGTACCCCCCAGTGGACCACCAGGCCAGATCCCCATCTCAGGCTACCCTCCGCAGGATCCTGGCTTTGCCCCTCCCCCTTTCCAGCCTCAACCTGAGCAGCCAGACATGTATCCAGGAGCCCATCAGCAGCCCTGTCCCCCTCCACAAATGGGCCAGATGTCACCACACATGCACCCCCAGATGCCGCATTCACCTGTGCAGATGAACCACCCGCCACCCCCGATGCCTCAGCACATGCCCCCCTCTCCAGGGCATATGCCCCATGTAGAGCAGCAGGTGCTGCCAGAGATGCCAGTTGGTCAGCCAATATCATCCTCTCCACCCAGAGGCTCCATCACACCTCAGAAGGACTTTTATGACCACATGGCTCAAATGGTCAGTACCATCTAAATGTCTAAAAAAATATATATATATTGTTTTATCATCTTTGCTGCAAAATCACAGTTTTTTACAAACAGGCACACTTCTTAGTATGTGCACTAGTTACCAAAATTCTTACTATGTTGTCTTTGTGGTGTTGCAGGGTCCTGGAAGATCACGGGCTGCTTCACAATCTTCAATGTACATGGTGCGTCTGTGTGTCATGTGTACTGCTAACGAACTGTATATTCTTCTGCTAAATCTGTCTGGTGCTTGTTTGTATTAGCCCCTGTTTTTAGGGCCAATAGGGAGCAGGTTGTCTTTCCTTATGTGCTCAAACAGATGGCAGTTATTGTAGGGCTGCCCAGCTAATCACATGCTATTCCACACATGCTTCTTACCTGTTAAAACTTGGCATCTGAATTGCACACAGTGCAACTCAAACGCTTGTTTTAGGCTTGTGCTAGTAGTACAACGTCAGATTTATCAAATTTGTAGTTTTGAGATTAATGGAGTCCTACCAAAGTAGTGAAATGTTTCTCGCACTTTGTTCTTCATTGGAGTGAAAAAAAAAAAAATCTTTCACACGCTTACATGCCAAGAGAGCCTGTTCAAAGACATCTCTAAGTTTTTCTGCCAAAGTGACAACTGTAGTGGCATTTACAAATAGGTTATTAATGTTCTTGTGGGAAATTGTAAAAAGTTTTTTGGCTGTTTTACTTGTACAGACAGAAACAAACAAAACTAGCAGCATGATTAGTTAAAAGAATATGGGCGCATGAAGTACATCAGTATCAAGATTCAGTTCAGTAATAACATAGATAAGCATTATTCTTACACGTCAACTTGAGTGAATATACACTGGAACTCCTTCTAATCTATCATTCACATCTATAACACAAAATGTGTGTTATCTAGTTAAGGCATCCCATTAAGCTCAAAAGTAATCAGAAGATAAGTATATACTTTATTCATATCAGTATTTTCTGTTGTTCAGCCATCAGGACGGCGCTCTCGCACAACCTCCGAGTCTTCCACTCATTCTATTGGAAGAGAACGGAGTAACTCAGCTTTGAAGCCGGTGTCTCCACCTCCGCCCTCCATTCCTGAGCAGCCCCGTAAAGAAGAGGCCAAGAAAGCCAAGAAAGACTCACCAAAAAAGGTTCATATTCACACATAAAGGCTCAGAGTTTCAGTTGGTGAAGTTCACTGGTGTTCAGTGCAGTTTTTCCTTTCTTCTCACACACAGAGCGGTGGTGGTGGTGTTGGCTGGCTGGGCTGGATCATGAGGGGGAGGGGGAAGAATGAGGCTCACTTACCAGATGACAAAAACAAATCTGTAAGTTGTAGTTTTTATATATGCATGTAGTATATCCAAACTACTTTTGATACAGTTTTAACATGTTTTTGTTCATGTGTTTCTACATATCATCAGTACTGATAAGAGCACTATGATCTTTATTATCAGATTGTGTGGGATGAGAAGAAGCAGAGATGGGTTGACATGAATGAGCCTGAAGAGGAGGTCAGTAATGACTCCCAATTAATCTACAAGCCAGAAATATAATTAACAAGCCCGAAAGCTTTATTCATCAACCAATTGTAATCATTTTCTTACAATCTATTAGAGTAAGCCACCTCCACCGCCTCCCTCTGGCTTCCCCAAGATGGCTCCGATGCCTGGCCCTGGAGGGCCTGCTGCACCCCCCACTAGTGGTCCTTCAGTTAACATGTTCTCCAGGAAAGCAGGTGAGATAAGGGTTATTCACTGTGGCTTTTGGCTACACAAACACTAATTCCTTGAAAAGTAAAGGTACTTGCTCTTTTAAGTATTTCCTGGCGCTCAGCTGTGTTTTTGTCTTTTCAGGCACTAAGAGCAGATATGTGGATGTTCTGAACCCCAGCAGAACTGCTAAACCTGGCGGACTGGCTCCAGCACCGGCAGACATCTTTGCTCCTTTGGCGCCGATGCCAATGCCTGCTAACCTCTTTGTGCCTAGTTCAGGTGTGTGACATGGATTAAATAAGTTAACTGAGAACAAGGCAAAATGACATATGTATGTATGCTACAGTGCAGGGCAAAGCCACAACCCCTGGTGGTTGTAGATGATTTCTGTTTGATTTTGGAAGATGCTGCTACAGACAAAAGTGATTAAATATTTCACTGTTTTCCTGGCGTAGCTCCTGACGATCAACAACCTCTGGAGGGCTGTGAAGGAGGAAATCAGGAGCAGAATTCACCAAATGCCAGCGCTGCTCCACAGGTATCTGATATTACTCTATACTGGTAACTCTTGTGATTAAACGTTTAGAAAACCTTTTCACGCTGTTGCTGCTTTACTGATGGAAAACAAATTGGGGGTTTTGGTGTATTGGCTTTTTGACTTAATTGCCATCCTCACTCAAATAATAAATATATTAATACAAGTTAAGATAGAAAACCCTATAAGAGATCCTTTAAAATGTGTCAAAATAAAAGGCAGGAGGTTGTAGCACAGTTGGAGGTAGCTTAGCCAGATTGCATAATGCACAAAGCTCTCCCCTTATCCACAATCTCTTCAATTGCACTTTAATCTGTTCAGATGTTCAACCCAACATTGTTGCCGCCTGCCCCAGAAGGTCCTCCTGTGCCTGATGGCTCACAGTCCGGAGAGGTAAGACCAGTCAGTCCCTGTCAGCGGCCTCTGTAGCTACCATTGTGCCACCACTGAAACACGTTGCTCAGCAGCTAACAGCCAGCGCGTGCAGTTTGCTTATTTGTACGACGAAGTTAATGTAAGAGGGAAAGAACATGAGAATGCATGCATGTCTACTGAAAATCTTTCCTCATGATCATGCTAAATGCCTCGATAATTAGTACAAACTCTGTTCCATGTGCTGCTGAAATATAGTTCTCTCCGTGTCTATTTTTTCAAGAACCATAATTTTTCTAACGCTGGTTTATTCATTTTCATTCTGAACTGGTCGATAGTGGAAACAGATCTAATCCAGTGCATGGGAGATTATTAATATGGGTTTGTGGTTTGTGTTTTTTTTTGTCTACTGTTTATTTCCCTCCTGCTGTCTTTAGCTCTCACGTTCTAGCTCAATGAGTTCTTTATCACGCGAAGTGAGTCAGCATTTAAACCAGGTACCTCTAGCTGGGCTTCAAATGGTCCGCCACTCTCACCCCTACCTGCCACCCTTCTAACTCACCCCATCGCTAGCAGCACGCTTCACCATTTGCACACAGAGCTTCGCCGCCTCCATCAAACCCAGGATGTCTGCCTGCTCACCCGCCTGCCGTCTCCAGCATAACTAAACTCTATATCTGTTAGAAAAGCTCAACCCTGCAACTGCTTAGCAAATTAAACTGTAACTGTAAAATTGCAGTGAGGTTTCTTATTTTTAGCCACACTAGCAGCGTGACTCTGTGGATGGAAAGGTCAATCTGTAGCTTGGTGCACCGCTTCAGTGCAGGCGGAAATATCTTAGCAACTTTTGAATAGATCGCCTTGACATTTTGTGCAAAAGTTCAAGGTCCAGAGAAGATAAATCCGACTGACTTATATGATCCCTAACTTTTCCTTTAGCCATGTAGGTGACATTTTTGGTTTTTAGAAAAAAAACTATTCAATGGATTGCCATAAAGTGTAGTACAGATATATCAATAGTGCTCTGAGGATGAACACTGATAATCTTGGTAATCCTTCAACTGTCTCTCTGGTGCCAGATTACCATTTATGTAATGGAAATCTCAACATTTTCTTAAAAGGTAGACAAAAATTTGTACAGATGTTTCTGGTTCCAAGGCAGGTTTTGCAGCCCAATAGTCATTTTTCTTTAATAAGTTTCCTGGGAAAACGAAATGACCTGAAACTATATAAGTAGCAGGTTTGATATGAGGAGTCAGATTCTGTAAATGTTAAGGAGAGGTCCTTCTTTATTTCCTTTAACATAGGTTACACTGGACTGTCCTTCTCAAAAGGAAAGGAGTTAATGCTGTCCCACAATTCCTTGCAGCAGCCACATTCGCAGCAACATGACAGACCTACGTTGACAACTCTACCCTGATTACCTAGCCTAGTATAGATGCACTCGGATTCTCTCAACATTGTGGTTGTCTTGTCCTAGATCCTGAATATTTTTTCCAGACACCATGACATTTTCTGTCAAAGAAAGGTCTTTAGGAAAAGACAGACTAGGCGACCTTTCCTTTCACACTGCTCTGAGATGACATTTGTGATTTTAAATGAAAGTTGTGTTGTTAAAATGTGACTGGCGATCCCTCCAGCCACCATCTAGCACCTTCATTTGATTTGTTCAATACTTTGGTTAAAGAACAAATTAGTGGTTGACTGATGTGTTTTTTTGGGGCGCTCATAAAAACACATTTTATTAGTGATCAAAGAGGCTGTTAGTCAGTATATGGAACTGATACACATTTGTAATAAAAATGTAGATCTTGACATCAAGATTTAGCAGAACACAACACAAAACTTTGTTGAAATGCTGTTTATTTATGTTTTACATCTGTTTAAATGAACATGAGTTTTCAGCATCTATCCTTTTGTGCTGATTAGCTGTTGCTTGTGAGATGTAACCAATCAGAAAGAGCGTTGGATGGGACATTGCTCGAGACCACAGAGTGACTATGAATATAGAGAGAGAGAGAGACGGCTGCATCAGACAACATGGGACATTTTTTAGTTTATTTATTTTTATTGGAAATCTGTATGATAACAGTAATCGATAAAATTCTTAGGATCACATCAGGTAATCGTCTAAGCTGATAATTTAGTGACCTTTAGACTAAATACCAGCAAAACTAATGATATTCCCACCAGCCTCAGCTTTTTTTGGTAATTAGGAAATGTTAGCAAGCTGCCCTGATATCATGTACTTGGTAAACATAACATCTGCTAAACATCAACATGTTAGCGTTGTCGTTTTCAGCTTGTTGATGTTAGTAAAGCACGTACAGCTTCACAGAGCTGCTAGTCTGGCTAGAAATCTTATTCACGAAACTCTTGACTTGTAAATTCGAGTCAAAGATCAGGGAGTGAAACATGCTGGAGACTGTTGCAGGAGGCTTCCCTGGCTAGTTGTCACGGGAGCACACAGCTTCATTAACCCGTCATATAGCTTGCATGACTACTAAAATAAGTGTTTGTGAAGCTGCCTCACTGTGATTCCAAGTCCTCCTCTACATTGCCTTCCCACTTTTCTTTGGCTTCTGTTTTACAATGTCCTTGTGACATTGGGAGTGCACTCTCCTCTCCATCTCTGCTGTAAACTGATGGTATACTAACAGTGCACACACGTCAGTAACTCTGCTCGTCTTTGGACAGAGTCATCCTGCCCAGGGAACTGCACCCGCTGGAGGCGTCACCTTTTATAACCCCGCACAGTTTGCACAGGTTTGGATTTTTTTTTTTAAAAAGCACAATAGTTTGGCAATGTTCATGTTTCCTTCCTTTCCACTCTATAATCCTGTTTTCTTTCTTGTTGTTTTCCTCAGACAAGTGCACCATCAGGAGGTGGACTACGTTCTGGCCGTCTGGGCGGTCAGCGCCAGTATCCAGTGTTGAAGTAAACATCAGCTCGCAGAGAGATTGTGTAAACAGACTTGTTGGATAGACTCTACCTGGAAGTAAATGAAGCACATGGACATACTGCTCTCTGTCTTAAGGACCCTACTTTTTGCCTGCACCTAAGAAGAGCCTAATCACAGTCTCCGTCATGTCGGTCTTCGTCCAACAGCTTAACCACTCTTCTTTTTCTTTAGTTGAGTAACTGTCACTGTGTTTGTTTTTTTTTTTTTAACAGGCACGTTGTTTCCTCGAAGGGCTTAATCCTGCATCCAAACTGAGAATAGACAGCTCTGTAATGGATTTTAACACGTAAAGGCTTATCTATGGATGCATTCAAACACAAACTGTATGTCCATGTAGGCATAACTTAGTGTACAATAAATGTGTTGCTCCTTTAAAGCTGCCCAGCTTCTCCTCAAATACAACTCTGTCAACAGAACAGAATGATTTATCCCATGTCCCGTTTTAGGTTTTCCCTTTCTGTCCAGAGTCCAAAGGTCTGTGATTGATCGTGTGAATGACGGATAGAAAGAAAGTGGCACCTTTTTAATTTCATATTCTGGACTTGTACCGTGCAGCTCTTCGGTGTTCTTCTGTCAACTGGAGATAACATTTTGTGTGAGAACGAACTGTGTCAGTAGCGCTTTGTCTGCCGTGTCGTTTGCTTTTCCTCAGTCGCCCTCCAGTAAAGGAAGCATGTCGGATGACAGGAAAGAGAGACAGCCTGCAGTGTTGGGACGCTGCTCGTTTTCAGATATTTATTTAAATGTCCTCCTGCCCGTCAGTTCTTCACTTTGAAAGATGTGTTCAGGGTCTTTCGTCCAAGTCGAGCTCTCGAGTTTCTCTTCCGAGGAAGCGTCAGTATCATCGAGTCGAGGGGCGGCGTTCAGAGCAGCAGGAACCAGGATTGAAACCGCGTTTTAAGTGTCGCTAAAAATGAATCTATCCAAATATTTGTATATCAGATTGATTGTATTTATGAGCTGTAGGCATAATGGTGTGTGTGTGTGTGTGCGTGCGTGTGTGTGTGTGTGGAGAGCAACTAATTTTTTCTGATAAGCTTTGACAAAATGCATTTATGATTGATGAGATGACAAGATTCTGATTCTGATCATTTGTATTGGCCGCTTCTGCAGACAAATAAATCTTTATCGAAATTGTGAACTGAGAGCTAACTGTACTCCAAACATTTTGTCATTTTACTTTACTGATGTGATTTATTTTTTTTTTAAATGCAGTCATTTGTCATCCCAAATGTTTCTGATTCAGTGATTTTTTTTTTTTTGTAGACATCACTTTATGATTTTAAAAGTTCCCCGATTGTTTCAGAGAAGCAGTTGTTTTCCCCAGTGTTTTAGAATTCCTCGTGAAATTCCTGACAGAAAAGCGTGAATACAAACGGTAGAAACAAATGGTAATAAAGGTATTTTTTGCGCTCTGTAGCACTTTGAAAGCAACGTCTACTGGTTTCATTCATTACATAAAATAGTATTTTGAAATAAAGTGACTGTGGGAAGTCTGGATGTCCGTTGAGTCGCAGCAAAAACTCTGAACACAGCTTTTAATGCGGATGTGACCTGAAGTCCTTTAGTGACACTAGAACATGTTTCAGCTTGTTTTAAGGCTGCACACTGATGTTTTTCCTAAAGTACGTCAGCTATAATGTGAAGTGGTTGAAGTGTGGCCACCTGAGCAGATTAAAACTTAGGTTTGCATTACAGCCTGACTGACAAATATGGCAGCTACGGTTCCAAAAATGATAGAATACTTGAACGTTCAAAAACTAGAAAAATGTTATTAACAGCAAACACTGTAAAATATTATTTTTAAACGTTCGAGTTAAACCTTGTCTCTAAAATGTTTTGATTGTTTGACATTTTAGAGACAAAACAACTAATACATTAATGAATAACAGTCTGTTACAGTCCTAAATGACACACACAAAACAATATTCAGATGAAATGCACACATAATAACAGATCGATACATAACTAAAGCAACCAGTCGATCTGTTTGTCTGCATTTTCTGCAACATCAAATGCACTGAAACATGAGACTCAAGAAGGTGTGACACTGTCCCATATTGATGTCAAAGTGGAATTAAGGTTTTTGGTTGAATACAGACTTCAGACTTATTCATTTCTAATCTGTGTTCTGTTTGAGAAGACAGCAAACTCAAAACCTTCATCTGAAAGAAACATCTACATTT